CAGAGCGATACCCACTTACCCGCTTTTTTTTTTTACATTATTTTTATAAATAATTATATTTATTATTTGTATATTTACCTTCCCTATTTTACAGGCTATATGTATAATGTAATCGTGTATATATTAACATGTGAGGGCAACTGGTCAATACCCGGGATATTTGTCTTAAGTTTAATAGGGGACTTTTTTTTTAAATGCAGTGTCCAAGTTTATGCGATAAAATAAAATATGAATTGGTACGATTAGTAGAGTTGCATTAGTGACTCATTTATTGGAAATATTAAGTTTTTTTTATAAACATAATATATGAAAACCAAACATTTCGGGAGGTTTTAGAACATCCAAAGCACTGTTGCGTACGTTTTTAAGTCGTAGTTAAATTGTTAGCGTAGCAAACGATACGTCTACGCGTTATCTGTACGTTTTTCCAATATAATGCTAGTGTGTATAATAATAATCCAATATATATTTAACATAGGTAATATTTATTGTGCCTACAGTATCATACACAAATATATTATATATCTAATATCTATATATATATTATATACAGAGAGATACATACAGATTGATAGAAATGCACAAACAGACTACGCCACTACAGTATCCTAATCATTTATGGCAGTATAGATACATCATTTTCGGACCTAAAACGTGTGATATTACCACTGTTGACTCGTTCTAGTATGTATTCTGGGACGGATGGGGAGGAGGTCAAAACTATAGAATACCACGCTAGCGACCGAACACAAACAACGACGACAAAACCGATCCGGAAAGCGCAATGACAACACACACTCCGACATGCAATTTTGTGTAATATTAATCCCGTTTCAGCTTTATTATTATTCTCGTTCGATTATCGTTTGCACGTGGGAGGGGCTGGGTGTGAACCGGAAGGGAAAATACGTGCACATATATTGATACGGGGTACTCAAACTGCTACAGAGCATAATATGAAATTTACATCAATTTCAGAGGATCTAGCTTACAATAAATCCTCGACATCATAATGTTATGTGCAGGGCCGCGTAAACGTTTCATCCTAAAAAAATAATATTCGAAATATTCAAAAAAAAATTATAATCACCGTTTGGAAAAAAAAATGCATTCACAAATCGTATGCCGTATTTGTATGGTGAAAGATTGATACAATTAAATTTCCCTCGGGTAATACGAGTATGTATATTTTGTGAATGAAACTAAAAAAAATAATATCAGTAAATATATATTTTGGGGGAGCATATTTTCCGGATATTATGTTGTTCCTAGGATAATATTCATACTTTCAGTTATGTTATTCTAGTTTCTTTTACGTAAAACCATATTGTAGTGTAAGACCAATTATAATATTATCTATATAGCCTTGTTACTCTATAACAGGGGTTATTAGGAACCTTTTCGCAGGAAAGAGCCATTTTTTTTTAAAAGTTACTTAACCATGATGTCCAGAGAGTCGCACAGGTTGTTCGGTTTCTGAACCGAACAACCATTTTTATTTTATTTTTTTGTAGTCATATTTGTAGTCATATTTGTAGAATTTTTATATTTTTTAAAATAAAATTCATATTTTACGAGTCTCGATATAATGATGCATTTTCAAAAAGCCACAGATAACATTTTAATGAGCTACATGTGGCTCCAGAGCCRCAGGTTCCTGACCCCTGCTCTATATGCAGCTAAACGTGTAATATTGTATACCTACGGCTAAGCTACTAAAAAAACACATGAATCACTCACGTCGATTTTGGCTCCTGGAATCGTGTGGTTGATGTACGGCGGTACACGTCCTCTTATGTACTGAAACAATTTGTCACCATTCTTGGTCCACTGGACCTTGTAAAGTTGGTTTTCGACCACCGTGTGGTTGCATCTCAGCACCACTGTCTCGCCCAGTTTGGCGTATCTGGGAACGATGGCTGACAGCTCTAACAAGTCCTTGCAATCTGCAAACGAAATTTCGTAAATGTCTCATTGTGACCATGGTAAAGTATATATCATTATTATCTTATATTATAATATGTACATGGGTGGGTGTGTAAATATGTGCGTTGGCTCTGCCGTTTTTGTTCATGYGGCGCTTCTTTGACGGAAGTTGTGAAATTTTTACTCATCCTACAGTTCACGCTATGAATTCATAAACGCGACGTGTGTATATATTTGCATTACAGAATTTTGTCTTTTACGCAGCACACAGGCGGCAGAGCTACACAAGACTGGCTTGTACGATGCACGATAAATTATTTATGGCAAAACAATTTTTCAAAACTTTTTTGTTTATTAAAAAAGAAGATATAATAATAATATAAACATCAAAAAAATAATATTATTATAATAATAGGTACAATACAAGTTTTGGTTCCANCACGATAAATTATTTATGGCAAAACAATTTTTCAAAACTTTTTTGTTTATTAAAAAAGAAGTGTACCTAATACATTTTARATGAGTACTCAACTAAACATTATACGGCCGCTAAATTATATCAAAAGCGTTGTTTCTTACTTCAAAGAAGTAAAAGGATTTAACGTGTTCTTATAAAAAAATAAATATATAGATATGTATATTATAATAGTGACCGTGTTATAGGCGGTTGCAGCTGCCATACAACTTTTGGTATATTGTAAGAACTTCACAATCAGTTCTATAAACACAATAAAAAGTAATCTGCTGATTATATTTATTTAGCTTTTATCTATAAGTATATATATATATATATAATGAAGTTTTGAAAAATTAAAATAGTTTTAGTATGTTTAGTTAAATATTGTAATGCAATTTGTAAAACATAATTTAAATAAAAGTACGTATTATTCTTATATTAGATTATTTCAAACACTTTTTAATATTTACGCTTTTATTTGACTTAGTATTCAAAATATATTCAATATTCGATCCTATTAATGTTATAATTTTAATTTTCAGCGGCTTAACTTCTAGTTCAGAATCCAGCGAGTAAAACAAATACATATTTACAAAATATAGTGATATTTTCGTTTAATTTTGAGTGAAAAGAATAGATTATTAGATAGATATTTTAAAGATGAATCATAATAAAATATTATTATTATTATGTTTCTGTTAAGGTATTCTTAACATTCGAATTMTATTCAGGAAAAAATGGCCTAGAGGACGAGTTGGTACATTTTTTACTCTAMAACTTTTTACAATTAGGTAGGTATACAAGGTGTTACAGATAGAACTGACTTTTGGAATAACTTTTATTCAAATTAATATTTTTTAATTATTTATTTATTTATTTTGTTCATTAAATGACCCTAGTGCTTCATGTATAATACATATTTTTATGTTTATTTTTTAGTACTGAAAATAAAAAAAATTTAGCTTAATAAAAAATGGTTTGGATAAATTCAAAATAGCCTATTTGTGAATCTGATTATAAGAACAATTTTGATGGTAAAAAGATTTATCTAAGTCAAGCAGTTTATTTTTTAGAATTTTTTTTTAAATTCAATATTTGTTTGATTAAATTAATTTGGAATGTAATAATTTTTTTAAGAATTTGATTTTTGAGAATTTTTTGACATGAAAATATTTCTTAAATTATTTAGTTATCATAGAATATTAACAACTTTTGTCATACATTGAATTAKCGTAATTTATTTTTTATCGGACCTTTCTGTTACACCCTATATGTTTGTCTAGCATTTTATGAAAGTTTGATGAACATTTTTCGGAATACTTAATTATACATAGAGACAAAATACTAATTCGAAACGATAAACGTGATTTTTAATACTTAAAATAGAATTCAAAAMATTTGACACGAGTCATATTGTATAAGCTACATTTATCGATGTTAAATAACATAAAAAAAAGATAAAGATACATTTGAGTAAACGGTATTATGATAAATCTAACAATGACGAAGTGTTTATGGCATATTATTATGGCATTAAACATGCAAAAGATAAAATAAATTGCACAGGACATTATTTGATTGAAAAGAAACCGATATAAAAAGAAAAAATGTATAACATCATAGAGTTTAAAGATAAAAATTTGATATTCAATATGCATTAAACCTGGGATGTCTTAAAATAGGTATCGTAAAAATATTATGATATTATCGATAAGTTACCTATAATAACACTTATGTATTGATATTATATGTGAATATTGTGAATATGGGAATGGAGTCTCATGTATTTTTGTGATAATTTTAAAATATTAAATTGTGTTGTTGAAAGTATAAATGACATTATTCAGTCTTTCAGTCCCACTGATCTAGTACCTATAGGTTCCAAAAAAACTTTTATATTATATCAAGACATTTTGTATGTTATAATATCTTAGCGCTATAGGTACTGTCTGATACTGAAAACTTTAATTKCTATATCTAAGAAAATTTAATGAGATATCATTGATTTTTTTTCAAAATTAATCATTTAATAAAAATGAATTTTGTAAAGAAAWATCTAATGTTTTTTTTAAATATTATTTTTAGATGTACTAGGAATGGTGAATAAATAAATGTATAGTTGCACATTATTGACGTGTTTAATATTTCAGAGTAACTGTATGTTAGTAAAACATGTGTAAAAATTATATGTGACATATTGACATTTAATAATAATGCRAAATATTATTTGAAGACATGAAAACGTTTTATTATATTATTCAATATTTTATCAAGAGACTGACACCTAAATATCAAAAAAAATTTTAAGTAAATCTACAAAAGTTTCATTATATGTATAAAAAAAATATGATAATATTATACAGTTTGAATGTGATGGTTTTCCTGAAAATGTGTATGCACGCCTACATAATATATTTTTTAATGAACTAGTAAAATTGAAGTTCTGTTATACATAATTTTTACGTTTTGTATGGTTTGAAATATTATAACGGTTTAATCATTCAAAATTGTATTTCATCTTTGATAAATCTATTATTCCATTAAGTCAGGCTAGCCTAAGTCATGAGAATTATATGAAAGCAAATTTTCAAAATCTCCACAGCATAATATTATGTCCTCATTTCTCAGGTCCGTAATTTTGTACTGTAGAATATAGACTAGTAAGATGACCATAAAAAAGGTTCTGAGAGAACCTTATGGTCCACACATGTTTGTTCATAACATATATAGTGGTTTGTAATCGCGTCGATAGAACATGCGCACAAACGTTAAAAGTGCTACTGTGGAATAATTTAAATTCCCCAAGAGAACCAAAGAAACGTTTTTCAGGTCACCATTCAATTTCATTTAAAATAATAATTAAATGAAAAAACTACCATTTCCTGAGTAAGAAATAATTCCACTTTAGCATAGAATAATATGTGGGAAGTCAATAGCCATACTACGAATATATTATTTTGATCATTCTGTATACTATTTTTATATGAATTGAGGATGATACTCTCATTAATAGTACATTTTTTTCTTAATTTCTTATACACTTACAAAAGATTACAAAAGAATATTYTTTTTCATCGACGCAGAAGAAGAGCAGATAAACTTATAAGTATATAATAAGGTAATACAATTGAAATTGTTTGAAATTAGCATATTGATACCAATGTTGGATTGTGAACGCCATAATTTTTATCTCCTTGAATTTAATTCAGTTTTAATGCCACGGTACAATAAATTATAATATATAATACTGTATAGATATGGTCACACCTTCAGAAACGGTAAAAGATTCATTACCTAATTATTACAGTTTGTCTACATCGTAAAATAAAATTAATTATTCCACTATTGGATTGGGTACTACGTTCGGCTTCTTCCCATGGGCTTGTTATACTGTGCCGGTAAAGAAGAAACCGTGCCATAATTTTCATTAATATTCATTGAACAATATCATACTTTTGGAATCATAACAACCAAACTCGTGTATCATCAGGTCATATAAATCGTTGTACCTAATTAATTTGTTTTTTTTTTTWWAAAAAGAGGTTTTAATTTAAATTTAAAAAATAAAATCTTATTGGATAAATTCTCATAAATGTGGGTAATACAATATTCTTTATCTAATATTATTTTTTTTATTTACTATATGTACATATTATTTTGATTATTATATACCTAATATTTTTATTTTTATTTTTTCATATACCTAATTATTATATAATTATTTTATATACCAATTATTGTACCTATTGCATAATTTATAATATTATAATACTATGATTAGTAGAAATATGGTTTATAAAATTCATAACCTTGATAATATTTTAATATTATTTTTGACAATAATATACGATAAAATAACATTATTTGAACAAATTTCTTAATTGAAAATTAATTTTGATTAAATTAATATTAGTTGAACATTTTATGATTTTAAAAACGTAACTCTACATATATAGTTTTAAACACACGATAAAATTATGAATTTTATCACTACCATTAATTTAAARTCAATAAAATAAATTGCATTATTCTTTTTTTTTAAGTTTGTGGTATACGTGGTGCATATTAGTTCTGAGTTATTCAGCAAAAACAGTAATTTGTTTAATAGTTTAAATATTTGATTTAAGTAAAAATTTAATACGTACCAAAAAGGGAAAAGTATCTCAAAACTGAGTAAAAATAACTAAAACTTTAGTTTTTAATCTTAAGAAATATTCTTAAACTATATTAATCTATAGAACCAACATCATAATTATATGAATAATGAACTATATATATATTGTATGGTTTTGAATAGGCCCATATTAAAATATTCTATTTCAAATTTGAATAGGAATTTTCCAACGATTAAGATTATACTGAAAATCAGAATTAATAAAAATAAAAATGTGTCTGGTTTGAAGTATAATCAATAATGTAATAATCTATGGCAAAGATAAATATTAAGGGTACACAATATGATATAAAAATGTAAACTTTTTGAATAAAAATATATAAATATAAATGTATATATAAAAAAGTTAAGCAATAGATTGTGTTTTAGTCTTRCATTTGACTTATGTC